TTAAAAACTTATAACTTTTTTATGGCTTAAAAGACTTATATTCAAATGAGTATACTAATATATTTTTATGCCATTTATAATAAATGTCCTATGGCGAAACCATTTTTCGGTTGAGAATCACTCTTTTTTCCAGTAAATTTTTTTTTTCAAATTACTTTTTTTCAAATTTTGATGTATCTTAATCAAAATTTGGAAGGATAGCTTGAATTATTCATCTTTATGTGTATACTAAGGATAATATATGGATCCACGATAATATGTTTGGAAGATACACATTTAATATGTATCTTTAATGCCTATTTTATTACCTGTACATTTATTGTACATACTTATCACTTATAGGTGATAATATGCTATACGATGATTTAAAAACTACGTTAAAAATTTAATAATATCCGAACAAGCCATAACMTTCCCGAATCACTAGCAGAAATATTAAGCAATCACCCTAGATCTATAACCAACATCATCCAGACCATTACAGCCGCCAACTTTCATATCAAAATTTAATTAACACTTAGATTAAGTAACTATACAAATAATATGTAATTAATTATTTTCGCTTTAAGTCTAATGGCCCATGTTGCCATGAGTACCTATACGTACAGTTAAAAATAAATAAATAAATAAACTAAATAATTGATAGTAAAGTGTTTTAAATATGCTTAGAAATTCGAAAAAATCAGAATTTGAATAAACTTATTATTTAAGAAATACATTGCATGGGCGAGCAATGGGCATGCTTGATRTGAATAATCCTATATACAATATACATATAGAGGCTCGCCATATCTTTATAATTTTGTGAAGGCATAACATGGCGTGGTGAAATACCAGACAATAGTTTTTTTCTAAATCAACAATTTCTTAAACTTAATGGTTAAAAATAAAAAACAAAGTAATAAAATAATTTAAAATAGAARCAAAAAGTGATTTGAATATCTACTGCCACCTTTGAGGAATACTTGTAGTAGTGTTGGTAAAAAGTTACAATTTTATGTTTGATGATGTGTTAGATGAATTGTATGCAGCGAAAAGGCGACACCGCCGCCAAAATAATGGCATAAAACTCTAGTAATATAATTTCATAATATGTATCACATAAAAGTACACGATATGTGCGCGTATTTGAAAAAAATAATATGCCGCGACTGCTGCCGGTGTTGTATTATTTATATCGCCTAGCGCGTATAATATTATAATAGACGGCCAAAAAATAAAATAAAAAAAATAGTATATAAAGAGAAAAAAAACACTTATATCATACGCGACAGGGCGTCGAGCCAACATCCACGACGACAAATCTGTGACGGCCAGAGCTATAATTATAAATGATTACACACGCGATTATGATTATTACGGTTATGCGTTTGTTTCCCGTGCGCGTACGCCCACGACGCCCACGCGTAATTATGAAATGTAAACACGCRCTAATACCACGACGACARCGACAATCCCTTTGAAACGGATTCGTTATTATTTATTTTTCCGCTCTCGCGCTCGAAGAATTTCGAAAGAAAAACATTAGTAATGACTTATACTTTGAGTGTTATTATACAAATTTTATTATATTATAATACATATAATTCATATTATATAGGTACACATAATATTATTATTACATAATATTACTACATAACATAATATTACGGTAACCTATTACTATATTGGTATAATAGTAAATAGTAGATAAAACCAGTACAATTTCGACTTCCCAATAGTACCTATTATTATTTAGTTATTTACTATTTAAGTACTATTAATAAATTTGTTATTGGTTGGCCGCCTGCAAGTGGCGTACGGTCAGAATTGAATTAGTATTAGTAGAATACATGGTTCTATTTTTGGAAATTCTGAACACTTATTACAGATAACAAAATATACGTATTGCTTGTCTACGGTATATTTGGGTGATTAACACTAAAATTAGCAAAACCTCCGATATTCCTTTTTGTATAAGAAAATAGTAATGCTGAAAATGTCCTTGGTTTGCTAAACACCCAAGYMGAAAGTCATAAATTGGAACAAATCTATAAGGCACATGCAAATAATTGACGGAAATTAATTTTCTCTTGTTCGTTGATTTTACTAGGGAGAGCAACAGTCCCGCYTAAGTCACTAGTTAATGATTGCGCGAATTATTCAGAGTCCTCTAACAAACACAATATTTCTGTGATTAATTTGAATGAATCCAATGACAACAATATATTGGGAGATGATATTAATGATCAACAGTCAAGAGAAAATACCGTTAACAAACATCAAACAAATCTTAGTTTTAATTCACAAACTGGAGGTAAGTCAATTTTTTAATACTATAATAAATTTAAAAATTTTCTCTACCTAATAACAATAAATAGCATGACTAAAAATTAAAATTACATTTTTATTACAATTATAAAACTACTCTTTAATTTTATTAACATAAAATATTGAATAATTTATATAATTAACTAATATAGAAGTACACATTTTAGCTTCAGAATTACACCAATTTGCTATTCAATTTGATGTTATAACTAAAACTTTTAATRAAACAATGTCTGATACCATGACTATGGATCCGATTCTGAAAGAGAACAATYTACTAAAGAATCATTAGATTGTAAAGTTTKTAATAATTGTTTAAGATGTGCTTTTAATATTTTATATGATATGGTTCAATAATCATGTAGTTTCAATAATATTTACTATGCTTATAAATTTGTGTTGACATTGCCATGTACTCAAGTGACATGTGAACGCACATTTTCAAAATTAAAAAATATAAAAACCRAATTAAGATCTTTAATTTCACAAGAYATTATGGAAACATTATTACTTATTAATATTGTAAGAGATTTTATTGTTGATAAAGATATGGTTATCAATAATGTTGCTAAAAGTTAAACAGAACTAACTAGAATATTGTTTTAAAATAAGTTTATAATTATAATTAGTAACCCAAAATTGTTTGTATTGTATAATTATTATATTTTGAAATTTTGTTATAACTATACTTATGTGATGTAGGTTGGATATTTTATTAAAAGGATATATGACAAAATTTGACTTGTTTTTCTTCAAAATTATATTAAAAAATAAAATATGTATTAAACTAAAGTCTAAAGGATATAATATAATGCTATCTTGTTTGTTCTATTGTCAATTTATGTGAGATAGTAACTAATTACTTATGGTTTAACAAACCATATTTTAACCTAATTTTAACAAAAGCATTTTTAATAGCTTCAAACCATTAATTTAATTAAAGGTCCCAAATATATGTATGTATGTATAATTATATGTATTAGATTAAACTTTAATCTAAAAAATGGTTTTTGGGGGCCTTCTATAGAGATTGCTGATGGGGCCTTTTGGAGTCAGTCCGACACTGCATAATAATACTACTCTTTTCAACATTATAAATTAATAATATGTTATGCATTATATGCTGAAAAATAAAAATGTAAAACAAATCATTGTATTTTATACTAAATAATAATAATAATAATAATAAATGTTATGTAACGCAATGCTGCACGATATGAAATAATTAATATTAATTAGCTGCATTCACGCGAATCTTTCGAAAAATGTTTATACGCGGTACTGCTTTGCGTTGTATAGGTATATTATTATTTTGCAGATAGTCATAATTTATACATGTAGACGGAAAATGACGTGTAATCGATTATTGCTTTATGTATAATATAATATTATGTTGTAGTGACTGATATTATATACATTTTTTTCCTTGTGCACAGGTATTACGCGATAAATATCATAATATTATTTGCGTGCAAAATAATGGGTCGCCCCCGGTATATTTCAGTCCGTCGTACAATATTATTTTATTATTATTATAAATAAATGACGATGAGCCAAAGACGTACGCGAGGTAGTAGTGCACAGGTGCGGATTGATAAGACGACGTTGCCGCGCGATTAATTAATTAATTCGTGAACCAATGAACTGTAAATACGTTGAATTAATATATATATATATGATTAACAACAAAAGGCGGCCACTTCTGACTTTTTTCACACAATATTACAGTCGTGGTTTTTTCTTTCCTCTACAGACGTACCGCCGCTGATTTTTACAGACGCGTTTTCCGGCCGCCGGTGCAAACTACAGTGGGTCGAATAGTCGACGACGGGACCGTCGGTTCTGTTATCGAGTGCATACCTATATATTTATCAAAGTGAATCGTATTCGGTCGAGCATTGATCTGCTTGCGTATCGGAATCTGCTTACCGTCAAAGATGTTCGAGTTATAAATTAATAACAATTATATTAATTAATCCTATAAYAACCTATATATATTATATAAGCTTCAACTGCAGGCGCGTGAGCCTGTTCGAAAACACGAGAATGTGAAATTACTAATGGTCATTACTTCAGTTGCAGTTTATAGTAYAGCATTGATACTAATATTAACCAATATTAAYTATTAATACTAATATATAGACCAATGCACGTCATCACATTTTCCCACTCAAATACTCGCAAGGTTTACATAATACACCCTGCAACAGTCATATTTATGGGTACGGGGAGATCGACTTCATATATCTATACATAACTGAAATTATTATATTTAATAAAATCAATGTCTTAAACGTTAAATCAAACGTACCCCGTACCTTGCAAAATAAATTATGTTTTAAACATTTTAATATTTTATATATAAGCACGTAGGAACGCCATTTCACAAATTATTCAAAAAATATTYCCAAAAAAGCCTATATGCCCTAATTCTCTCAGTGGCAATAAATCAATATTCATCCAAATATGGGTTTTTTCAACAGAGGAATTATTGTTATTATTGTTATTGTTACTGAMATTGACTATATGATAACATGGTATGTAGGTACCGTTAAAAAAACTGAACTAAATTTAAACATGTACATTCAAACTCGACGGTCTCACTGCAAATATTACTTAGGATGATGCGTAGTATTTGAGTCATCATAATGTATTAYATTAAAAYATTAAATTTCAYGATACGAACATACCTGCAGGGCGGTCAGATGACGGTGACGGACAGTGTCGTTGTTGTCGGTGTTGCAAGTCCATGCGCCGCCCACGGTGTGGTCAGCTTTGTTATCGGTCGGTGGCCAGCAGCATCGTCTTCGTCGGCGGCAACGCCGCAGCAGCGGGCGATAAGCCGGAGCGGCTGCAGCAACAGCAGCAGCATACGCACTCCTCGTTGCTTTTACGCGACGCGCATCGACCGCGATTGCGACGAGACTGTCGCGGCGGCAACGCCGGACGATAACTATACGAATATTTTTCTCGGATTTTACCGGTGCCGTGCGTGCCGCCGTCACGGTGTGCAACTTTGGTCGCGCCGCCGCGGCGATTAACGCGACCGTTAAGACGCGACGATACGGGTGCGCGCTCGCGTGCGTTTAAACGTTTATCGCGCGCGCCGCGAGTAGCAACGTACCGTATCCGTAACCGTAGCGTGGCGCACGAGTACACGCGACGGTCGACTGTACCTAAACTGGTGCCGTGCTCTGATGTAATGCGTAGCTGCTGCAGTGACGATATTATAATACTGTTTAGCGATAGTACGATGATCGTTGTGGTCGCGCGTGACGYGTACCAAAGTATACACAACAAAATAGAATACTATAATGTATATTGTAACGATCACTGCAGGTCGAAATGCGCGCGTTTGAGCTGCCGCCGTCGTCGTCGCTACACTGCAATGCACTGCGCCGCGCCAATGCGACTACCGGTGTAGCGTTAACACTATTTAACGCATTATTGTGTTATTATGTTTACGACGGTCGGTTGCTAATCCAAGAGACCGACGCGTGGGGTGGGGGTCCTCTGCTTGACGGCGACGGTTCAACGGGAGCGCAGGAGGCTGGAACACGATGCAACGCTGTGACCCCGCCTACCGCGACGGCGGTCGGCGACGGAAACTCTACCGCCACCACCAATCGTCGGCGTCGTCGCCGAAACCGTCACCACCACCACCACCACCGACTGCACCACTATGCAAGAAACTCACACTACGTTAAACAGACCMCCTCTCCCTTATACAGTGAAGGGCAAATTTTTTTTTAGATTTTTATTACAAAATATAAATATATTATACTATAATAACATTTTATTATCATTATAATACAAATATTTACGTGCATGAAACACCTACAATAATATTCTATTATATAAGCGGTCAATTTATACGTTTGCGATCGTTGTCGAAACTTTCCTAAATCTGGTATATTTAAGTATATAATATCTATTACTTATATAATTTAAGAACCAGATTACGAATCAAGAGGAAATTCTTATAAGTTATATTATACAAACCATATCATCAGCTATAATTATAGCATATAAAAAGTAAAAACACTTCGATACGAAGCGATCAAACTCGAAAGACGAACACAGACGTATTGTTGTAGCAGTCGTTTCCTGCAGCATTATAGAATAATAATCACATAAGTTTTAAAAATATTTCCAAAATAACTATACTATGATTTTCAGGGTCATGTTATTAGGGGATGGCGAATGGGGCTATAGTGTCTTAGGGCGAYGAAAAGACGCTACAAATTTCAAAGATGCCAAATTGCCAAAACAAAAAGATACATCGATTGGTGCCTGGTGGGACTGCAAAAGTCTCGAACACAGATCTTAGTGATTTTACTAAAGAGTATGGTTACAACTAAAATTAAATTAGAAACCTGATTATAATGTAAATAGATAAAACAAACCATTTGTTGTTCTTAGTTTAGGTAGCTACTAATGTACTATAATAGGTATAGGTATCGATCAATAAGCTGAATAAGCTATAAATTATTTTAACTGAAATCATGTGATAGCCACATATAATCTACCTATAAGTATCTACTGTATGCTACGTATGTTGTTTGATACTTTTTATACTTATGGATGTCGATGTCTACTAAATACTATTACTATTACTAATCGCATTTTCTATGGAATTAATAAGAAGAGACTATAAAACAATTCATTTCAAGCATAATGCATTATGGTTACAGCCACCGCGGGTTTGTTCAGCCTGCAAGCATACATATTCACCGGGGAAGACTATACTGATAACGTCTACATTCAAACCCTAATTTTCAAAAACTAAGCTACATTCAAAAAAATACACCTGCAGATGTATCTCTGATAGACAAATCATTGGTACCAATATTAAAAAACTTAACTTTCAAGTTTCAACTATAGACTMTCTCTCAATTTATATATATACCAGACGTCTATAGCTGCTGCAGCTACCCATATTTTGGATATTTTATAAATTCCCGACCTCGGAGATTTGCTTACCGAGTTACACTTCAGCAGCTTAATATAATTCTTATGAAAACTATGCGATCTCGCTAGCACACGCTGACACTTATCATTATACGAAAATAACCTCGAGAACAATGTCTCAGCGGCTGCAGCAGCAGCACTGTGCAGCATTATAACGATTCCCGAAATACGCACGCTGAGTGTGCACTGTGCGAGTGTTATATAGACACACACACACACACACACACATATATATAATAATAGCGGCGATAAATCACCAGTGGCGATGGACGGCAGAGTATAATATATTATATTATGGTGTATACACGCGGGACATAATAATTATATCACATAAATAGGTATAGGTACAGGCGATGCGGTCCATGTACGAGCGCGCCATATATCGGCCGCGGTTTTACACGGGCCGTTTACCGCACGCCCGCGCTCGACGGACGATTGCGTCCGCGTGTAAATACCGTCTCTGACTGGCTTAACGCCCCTGCCGCGATGTTGTCGTCGCTGACGCAGCCCGTGTAGTGTGTACCTATACGACTCGCGGGGCAAAATACACACTTAAAGAAGTGCCACGTGATGAAATATGTACTAGAAATGGTTAATTGTATATAGGTGCCTATACCTATATGACGCCTACATGATGGCTGTAATATATGACGTACTATAGCTAGAAGGTATTTACCAAGTACCAAGGGGGCGAATAACCAATTTTTATGTTATAAGGATACAAATTAACTGTATACACAAATGCCATCACGCATCGCACATCACAAAGTTGTTAGAGAACCTCAAAAATAATGCGATAAATTCGTTAGACATAAAYACTTATACCTATAGCTAGTACCCAATACCCATCTAACATTTTCGAAAATAAGCTTAGTATATTTTTAACTTGGGGGCTTGCCATACTTACTTATCCATAGGTATACTAGAATAAGTTTATGTAGGTCTATTGCAGTTCAAAGTCCAATGTTTGATCTACAAAAACACAAACAGTTTCTAATAAATATATTATATAGACTATAAACTATATATATATTGGTGTATGTATAATATAGTACTCCATGGAACTGCTGAAGTATTTTGTTCATTTTACAAATCATTTTTTGTCAATCGTGGATTGGATTTTGAATTCTAATCGTTGCTCGCTTTAAAAACTAAATAAAATATTACACMAAAATGAGTTATGCAAGTATAACAAATTAACTTGGCATATTCCCTTACTTTGCAACATGCGCATATATTATATTACTTTATAACATGCGCATATGCTAAGCTATTAGCCGTATACAATATCTTAGATTGTACATTTCTACAATGCGCACAATCTCAAAAATTCAACACAATTTTATGAAAATTACAATAGTTGATTAAACAAACAATATATTATTATCTATATTATATTTATATCAATTACAATATGTAATATAAGTAGCTGTAATATGCTTAAGAAAGAAAGTTATTTAAAAGTATAATGCATTATATATACAWATACTATATTAAATTATTATTATTTAACTTCTGTTCATGTTAATTAATTGTCATTYACTTACTTYAAAACAGTATACATCTATGTTATATTACTATATACCTGCACGATTAAGCAAAATTGATGTAAAATAGGCAAATAGCTATCGATGACACTTATGAGACTGCTTGCACATTAYTTTGCAAATTTAAAAGATTAACTCAAAGTTACTTAACTTTATAAATATTAAAATTATCAAATAATCAACTGCTACTATTTATCTATCTATCCATCTAGGTCATGGACCATAGTACCATTAGTACCGAACACAGAGCACGTAAACATATAAATATACATATAATCTAAAGCTAATGTAAATTTGTAAAATAGCAACAACTTCTTTGAAGTCATTCAATTTTACAGATTCAATGGATTAACGTGATCAATAGAAATTTGTAAATTTTTAACGCCATTACACCAAAGATTAAATAACGAATTGAAGAAAATTTGAATTATATATAGAGTTGGAATTGTTGACGTGCAACGAAGTACTGCAGCTAATTTAATATAAATACAAAAGTAAAGAAATGGGCTAAACTGGCTAAAGAATAGAATATTTTATAATAGTATAACAATTAAAAATTTAATTAACAGAAACTATAAAAATAATAAAATTTGTATCTTTATCAAATATTTAATTATTAGGTAAGTTATAACAAAATATAGATGGTATTTGAAATATTTAAGTTCAATAAATTAAAATAGGTAACTCAGGAGAAAATTAACCACTTTTTTGGAAATGTACCATTTATTTAAATATTTTAATTTTTTCTATATTTTCTAGGGTTATATTATATGATTAACAAATTATAAAGAATCTTAGTTTTCTTCGCGTCTATACAGAGTAGTACATATTAGAATATTAGTTAATTATAATCATAAACAAAATATATAATTATTATATCTTTATATTACCATACACATTATTAAGTTAATTAGTTTGTCTCTAAAAGCAAAGCATGTTTAAGAGTTATAATTTATTAGGTATGTATAAATGTATAATATCATATTATATAATCACCCAAAGAATATCTGTCTACCCCATTAACGCTAATCTATTTATTATATTTGTAATTGTATCTGTATGATTCCTATTAAAACGGACTTTGATTTTTACTTATGGTTTTTATTTGTATAATTAAACTTATAGCAGTAAAGTAATTTTGAACATTCGTTTAATAACAATTTTAACTAAGTTTAAATTTATTTGGTCCATATGTATAAATTAGTTTTCCACTTTAATATACTATAATTTATGTAGATAATAAAGTTAAATTTATAATTTTTTAAATATACTTTAATGTACGTTGTTGATAAATCAAAGAATAATAATATATGATGTTAAATAATATTTATATTGTCTACAACTTTAAAGGATTGTCCGTTAGGAAAGAAAACCTGTTACATGTTTAAGTACTCAAAAATGTATGAATCYCAAATTATTTCTAACAGAATTTTACCAATAATATTATGATCAGGGTTAGAGCTAAAATCATAAAACTAAATTCGTAAAATAGCATTTAAAAACTGTATTATAAACACTGAAAAATTAATTAAAAATATGAAAACAAGCAAAAAAGAAAACTGTTCACAGTTTAATCACTTAATTAATGTAATGCTTAATTTTCACTGAAAAATGATACACACATTACACTAATTTTCTATATAGTGTGTATTAATCGTAAATGTACTAATACATAATAATAAATAATAATCATCTATGCATTATATATACCATGTTGATGTTATACTAAAAATATTTTATGTTGATCGTTTAGTAATGAAATATTAATTAATTATATCATTACATGATTACATTATTATCACACTATGGACTTTACACTTAATACAAACAAGGCATTTAATTCAATAATATTCAAAATACAAATATGGATACAACCA